GATCTGAAACATTAAAGTGTGACAAACATGCAAAAAAATAAATAAGGAAGGGGGCCAACACTTTTTCACACCACTGTATGTGTATTTTGCACGTCTTTAAATTTCAAGACAGTGAATAAAATACAATTATACAGCACATTTCATGAATAAACATTTTCAAATTCCTGCTAACTAAATATTATTTCCAGAATATATGATTTATTGTACATTAATCATTCAATATTCACCAATTTTTAACTGTAAAACAAACATACCCCTTTAAGAAACATGCCGAAGGATTTTTTTTTAAAGTATTTAATAAAATTATTTACAAAGACCGCAACATGGATGCTTCAGTTCACATCACGAATCATGTATTCTGTGACCGCTTGGATTCATATGATAAAGTTCAATCAGGTTAAGAGATCAGAATCAACTCTCACGTCTGAAATCAACTCGATGCGATTTGCCACAGGAAAACTGGCACAGTTCTGTGCGCCTCACCTTGAGATGCAACTCAAGTTACATGATCGATTCAGAAATCATACAAACATTCCTCAAGCAATTAAAATGACATAAGTGAAAAAAAACCTTCTGAAATACACTTTCAGCTATCAATGTTTGAAAGAAAAGATTCATTATTTTATATGCTGAATGTAATCTACAAACAGAAAAAATAATCAAAACAATGGCAATCGGGAAAAACAATTGGCAAACTCAGCTGACAGGTTTTAAAATGAAAATAGTATTTTCAACTGAACAGAAAAGATACATTACAGCCGTTCACGTGTCATGCGAACAAAAATATTTCTCTATTTACAACAAAACTATTTCAACGAGGGTGAGGTCTACTGCAAGTTTTCCTGTTTTAGCTATATTAGTAAACAAAAAGCTTTTAAAGAAATCAGTCCACCAAACTGATTCCAGAGTCTCATGAAGACTGGATATCAAAATGATATTTTTATTCGAATAAATACTCTTTGACGGTTTTCTGAGAGACACAGAACATCCCAGAGGATCTTCTGCATGTATCCTGCTAATGCTCCTCAACATAATGCTTATATTCTCATTAACCACAAAAAAAAAAAATGTACGGTGCTCTCCAGTGTCAATTATTCTTGGTGGAACGGCAGGTTCAAGAGTATTGTGTTTGTGTGTATATATGATGCATACATATACACAAACATGTCATTTTTTAGTCTGACAATACAAGAGCCTGTTTAACAACTTACACTTCCTGTTGGATCATCAGCTTAAAATAGCATGGTATTCAACACTCTTGAAGAGGGTGCTGCTTTGAACAATGGCAAACTTAAAGATTTTTCAACCCATTCTGTATCCGGACACTCCCAGATACTTTCAAATGATCTTTACATTCAGAAGAAAACATACAAACATTCAAAAAGGTTCACTTGACAACTGATGACAAGATGACGAGCCCTTAAGAGTTTCCCATGGCATTGTAGAAATGCACAGATTTAAAAAAACAAAAAAAACAATGAAATCTACTGTTGATCGCTATAAGACACCATCTGAAATGTAGCTGTTACCCTCTGCCTCACATTGGAGTTTGGGAGTCTGTGTGTTGGCTTTGCACAGTTTCCTCTTTCTTGTGTTTTTTTCCATGTTTGTACTTATCCACGTAGGCTTTGACCAGGTTGGCTACTTTCACCGGGTTAATCTCACCGCTCTTGCTATGACACACCTTGTGGATGGGGCAAACAAGACATGAATGGGGTCAGTTTAGAAACATGACAATGCTTTCATAATTCATTGAAGAAATGGGCCATTGGAGTGGAGGAAAACAAATAGTATTTACATATGCAAATGTGCTGGTCGGGTGTTTACTTCGGGTCTAACATGCCATACAAGGAAGTGGATATGGAAAAACAACCACAAAGGAAAACACCTGACGTCACGCAATTACCTTCTGAACGGCTTTCCTCAGAATCTCCTTGTACTCTTCCTTTGTGATGTCTCTCTTCTGGTAGAAGGGCTTTATGGCCAGTTTGACCTCCTCTATTGCTCGCTCTTGCATATGAAGTTTCTTTATATACTACAGAAAGACAAACAATGTTTAAAAATTCATGACATCAAGACAATGCCACGAATTATGAGATAACAATATGATGTAATCGTGCTCTAGTCACCTTGTCTTTTTGATTGGGGTCCTGTAAAACTTCTTTGTGGGATGTTGGTTTGCTGGATTCATCTTGGGGAGGTAGGCTGGAGACTGATGCCATAAGTTTTGATTCAGCCTGAGATAAAGCTTTATCCTTTAATATGGAATAATATGGGATTATTGTAGTACTGAAGCACCATTAACAGCACTCTAACTGCCCACGATAATGAAAATTCCCTGAAAACGTTTAAAAGATTTATGAGGTGTCTCAACTTTCTGTCATCCTCTGGGATTTCCCTTTGCTGAAGGGAATGTGAAGTCATAATTTATCAAGCACAAATTTGTTGCACCTTAATGATTGTTTTTTTTTATTTTAAGCAATTATACTTTAGCTGGTGAATGCAAAAC